GTCCAGGACAAACGGGACAAGTCCCAGGAAGGGCTGCATTGCACCATGGGGACGAGGGCGCCACACCGAGGCTGGATGACACTCTGGGGGACTCGCCTCATCGAGCCAAGCCTGGCAAGGGGCTTCGATGCTGAGGCAGGTGGCAGGCCAAGTGCCAGCTGGCTCAGCCCAATGCATGCCCCTGGGAAGATGTGACCCCTTTGGTAATTCCCTTTGTAATAAGCTGTCCCGAACTGCTTGGGAATATTAGGAAAACCTCGTGGGGAAGGCTGAGAAAGGCTGCCCTTCTCAACAGGGAGCCTGAGGATAGCTGCCCGGGCCAGGCCTGACTGGTCCAGGCAGGGAGAGGCTCTCCTGCTGCATGGGGAGGTGGATGAGCAGGGGGAGGAGGCACTGAGGAGGTGCAACAGGCTGGAGACCAAGTGGGCAGTGTCCCTGTTGCTGGGCATTGTTCCTGCTAAGTCCAGGGAGGAGGGGGGCAACTGTCAGGCTGAGGACGTGCCTGGGGTTCTGGGACACCCCGCTCTGAGGACAGGAGGGAAAGGAAAAGGCCCACCCTCTGCAGCAGCCTGCCTCCCTCTGCCCCATTGTGTCAGGGCCAGGAGGAGCAGGGGACTGCTCTGGGCCACCTCGAAGGTGGCTGCTGAGGAGGGGCGGGGTGCAGCAGTGGGCCTGGCCGAGGCTTGCCACCTGAGACTGAGGGCCGTGGCTCGCTGCAGGGGAGAGCCCCTGCCTGGCTTCTACCGTGGCCCCCCTGCCTGGGAATCAAACGAGACAAGGTATGTTCAGACTAGTGTGGCCATAGATGCCCCAGATTTTTCTGTAGCCCAGACACTACAACTCCAGGGATGTGCCCTGCACCTCAGAATAACCGGGATCACAACTACACCCAGATATCCCCCCAACCCCCATGGTGCCCCGCCCCTCCCGGCCCAGCTCTGCTCCTTCTGAAGCCAAGGAGCCAGTTTCCACAGGCAGGGCCCCTCCCCCTCCCTGGCTGGCGCTGTCCTCTGCCCCAGGCTGCACACGTGCAGGTTCAGGGACAGAGCAGTTCCCGCCATGCTGCTGCCAATGCCGGGCTGGCCTCTCAGTGCCTGGCACGAGGCTGGCGGACAGGAGGAAAGCCCGGTCCAGGCACAGGTGTGCCCACTCAGGGCCCATGGGGCTGCCAGAGGGACTCTTCCAGGGAGGCCTAGGGCTGTCTGCTGCACCCCAAAATCTGGTTAGAGAAGAACCCTCAGTTACCACATCAGCACTCTCTCCCCTAGAATGCCTGGCCACAAAATGAGACTTGTTTTCCCATGGAGGTGGAATCCTACTTGGTCACTCGGGCCTGGCTGGTGGAGAGCCGGGCTGGCAGCCTCTGCACGGCATCTGCCTACACAATCCTGCTTTGTCCTCTCCTGTGTGGCTCCACGGCAGGGCCAGAGAAGGAGCCGAGCGCTGTCCCCCACCGGGCGGCGCCCCTCCGGGAGCGGCCCTCAGTCATGGAGCGCCCCCTGCTGGTCACTCTGGGAACTCGTGCAGCAAGTCGGACGGGAGAGAGGATTCAGAGGAAAACCTTGGAAACACGCTCCCCCAGATACCCCATGTTACAGGGAAGAAACTGAGGCAAGTGGCTGGAACAGAGCCAGGACCCTACACATATTTGTCAAATGAATGAATGAACAAGCGGGTCAGCAAGAAAACAACAAATTATTCTTTAAAATATGACATAAAACCTGCTAAACAACCAATATTTGTTGAGTGCCAGCCCCGTGCCAGGTGCAGAGGGTGCCATGGTGAAAATGCCCTTCTGGCGTGGCCGTGGATAGGAAATCCCACCAATGACCACCAGCACGTGCTGAGAGCCAGCTGAGCCCTGCATGTGGACTGTCCCAGCTGAGCCACGCAGGTGATGAAACTCAGGCTCCCACGGGCGGCACTGCTGCCCAAGACCACACACTGGTATGAGTAGAACCACTGAAACAGATGCCACCACACCCAGATGCTGGGGCTCACCACCCGGCTCCCGTAAGGCTTGTCAGTACCTCCGCCCCCATTCACGGTGTACCCAGTGCTTACGGATTACAGAAAAGTCCACAGGGAGGACATGGGGTGTCCACCAGAACCCAGATGACCACATAGCTTTCAAAATTGAGGCAGGGTTTGGTTGGCAAGGGCTAAAAACAAACAAACAAAAATCCCTCCCAGGCACCTTCATGAGCTAAATGTGAAAAGCAAAACTCTCATATTTTGGAGGAAAATCTGGCAGAATAGCTTCATGCGCTCAGGGTAAAGAAGGCTTCTCTCACACAGCATCCCCCAAAAAGCACTGAGGAAAAGACTGATGAAACTGACTACATTATTCAAACAGAAAACTGCTAGACCAATGAATCAACAAACAGACAGTGAAAAGCCAAGCAAACAGCCGGGAAGTAATATTTGCCATGTGGGTAACCAGCCAACGGTTGGGGTGCAGGATAAATGACGCACTCCCTGAAATCAATAAGACATGGAAGGACAACTGCTTGGCAGAATGGGCCCGGGCTCCCCAGAGGCATTGGGCAGGAGAGAGCCCGAGGAGGCGCCAGAGGGAAGTTGTTCCTCCTCACCAGTCACCGGGGACAGCAAAGCCACACAACAGTGAAAAGCCACAGCACCAGGCTGCGGCGGGCTGGCGGAGGCTGGGGCAGAGAAGCAGTTGCAATATCGGGCCAAGCTGGGGTGAGGGTGCGGTCTCCAGGCCCAGCGATGCCTCCTGGCAGAGGGCCTAGGGGGACCCCCTCACATGCACCGGGACACCTTGAGCAGGAGTGATCACTGCGCATTCCTCCCACAGCCCAGGAGCAGAATCAGCCAATATGCCTGCCAGCTGGGGGCTGGCGTGCGTATCATGATACTCTCAAATGCTGGGACAGCATGCAGCAGTGGAAAGAAATTAAATACAGCTCATGATGAGACATGGATAAATCTCAAAATTATAACACTACTTTTTTTAAAGGTTTTTTAAGTAGCAGAGGGATACATACAGCAAAATCCATTTATATAATTTTAAAATATGCAAAGCAAGATTTTTATATTTATAGTCTATATACAATTACATCTATGGTAAAATATAAAGGCATGCATTGGGGGGATACAGTCACCAAATTATGGGTGGTTCAAGGGAGGGCAGGAGGAAGGGTGCAGGGTGGGGGAGGTTCACAGGGTGCTTGGACTTCATCTATAAAAATCTCAAGCAAATTATGAAATATGGATATAGACTGTTTAGATTTGGCAAGGCTGGGTGACAGTACCCAATGCTCATTCATGGTCTCCATACTTCTCTGAATGCTTTCAATAGGTCACAGTAATTGTAAGAGCCTTGAGCAATAGCTGTGGGTCCTATCTCTCTTCACACCCCAAGAATGAAGGGACAAGACGCTTGCTCAGTCCCCAGGTTCCTACATGCTGAGCACAGGACATTCATTTAGCTTAGCCCCAGCACTGGTCCCCCACTGGTCACCCTGATACCCCAGGAGCTCTCAACCCAGGCACACGTGAGAATCATCCAATGTGTGTCTCAGAAGCATGTGTGCAGGCCTCCACTGCCAGGGACAGATGCCCCTGGCTGGGATAGGACTAGGAACACAGTGATCTTTTTAAAAGACTACAGGCCTACTGTGACCCCAACACCCAGCTAGAAGAAGACATGCCTCAAAGGCCAGGCCACATTGTGGGCCCTCAGGGGCTCTGCTCTGTGCCTGACCCCATAGCCATTTCTGTCTGGGCCATAAGCTTCACACCAGTGCTCACACCTGGCCTTCAAAGTTTATGTGACATCCTTTGCACAGGGTGCTGTGCTATACACGTGGCGAACGTTTGCTCACTTCATCCATACCTCAGGCTGCTATCATGCCTCTTGGAACCAGCCCCTTGTTTGAAAATGCTCCTTGCATCATGAGACCCAGCGGGTATCAATGTGACATGAATCTCAACTGTCTAGCTGTGTTTGGTGGATGGCTGCTACCCTGGACTCCCCATCTAATTAACGGGAGCAGTCAGGTGAGGGGGACCTCAGGCTGGGGGCGGAGTGACCCTCAGTGACTGTATGCAACCTTGCCTTTGGGGCAGGCCTTTTTTATTCCTCAAAAATGTGCTATGGCATTTCACAAACAGGACATTTAAAGGGCCTCCCCTTTTAATCATCAGGGAAATACAAATTAAAATCAAAATAAGACACTACTACACATCCACCAAAATAGCAAAAGTAAAGGACAGAAAAGATCAACTGCTGGTGAGGATGGAGAGCACCTGGACGCCTCATACATTGCTAGTGGGAGTGGAAACTGGCACAGCCATTTTAGAAAGCCATTTGGTAGCACCTTCTGAAGGCTCAGCATGAGCCTGCCCTATGCCAGCCATTCTACTGCTAGGTGTATCTCAATGCATATGTGTATCCATAAAAAGTCATTTATAAGAGTGTTTATAGCGTTCTATTCTTGGTAGCCACAAGCTAGAGACAAGTCAAACATTCATAAGCAACAGAATGGATAAGTAAACTGTGATATACTCACATAATGTGAATACCATACTCCAGCACAAATCAACAATAACCAGTAAAAAATAATACACGTGAATCTCAAAAACAAAATGTTAAGCAAAAGTAGCTATAGGCAAAATAGTACCAGCTGTATGTTTCCATTTATGTCAAGTTTTAAAAGAGGCATAATCTATGGTTTTATAATTTGCAGGTACCGTTTATCATTGGGTGAGGGGTAGTACCTGGCATGGGGCACGAGGCAAGTTTCTGGAGGGCTGGCGATAGTCACTGGCATTTCTTGGTCTAGGTAGTGGTTACACAGCATGTCCATTCAGTACAATTTAATCCAATGCTCGTTTATAATTAGTTCTTTTAAAATATATTTTGTACTTTCGTAAAAAGTAAACTTTTAAAAACTGGTGCTCTGGCTATGATCTCCAGCCTGGCACATACGTGACCCGCACGTCCAGCAGATCGGCGCAGGATGCAAGCCTACCTGAAGGCAGCTGGGCCAGGTGCTTGTACGCCTTGTGCAGGTTCTCCCGGCAGATGGAGTTTGCGTCGTCCAGGAGGTAGGACAGGGCAGGGATGATGCCGTGCTCTAAAAAGCCATCCCTAGGGAAAGGAAGGTGGAAATGAGAACCTGCTGGGGTCTGTTCCGTCTAGCTGGGGCAGACCACCTTCCTCTGGCTGTGTGGGTGCAGACGAAGGCCAGAGATGGACAACACCTTACAGATCCTGAGAGGCCAGGGAGCAGGACAGTGTGGCTTGTGTGGTGGCAAGAATCACACAGCTCTGCCTCCTCCTAGCTGGGACTCAGACTGAGGCCCTCTGTGCCCCTAGATCCTTACTGTCACTCTTCTGAGCCTCAGTCCTATCGTCTGTGAAATGGGAACAATAAGCAGAAACTCAGAACCCATCTCGCCTGAACCTCCAGGGGCAGGGGAGCGAGCTCAGCACCTCACCATCCTTGTTGCCCTGGCCCCCATGCCTATGCACACCTGTTATCTTTGTTACTACCTTCATATGCTAATAAATATTAGGTAAGCCAACTAGATGAGGATTTTTTTTTATTTTCTTATGAGAAAAAGTTGAATGCTTTGCAAAGACTCAAAAGTGAATCTCTAAAAAAAAAAAAAGATGATTATAAAGGATTCTAGAAGGTATTTTGCATACAGATGATTTCACTGAAGTCTTTTGAGTTCTTGGTCTACTCTAAAGAAACCAATGCTGCAAACCAGATGATGTTATGAGTGTGGTTTAAGCAAAAAAGATGACAGGAAATGCCAACCAGTAGACCCATATCCAAGAAAAATGCCTGGGCCTACACAGGTATTGTGGGAATGCCTTATTTGTGTTTTCAGTTAAAATGAACTATTTCAAGGAAATATATCATTTCTTCATTTCTTTTGATTAATCAACTGACTGCTGGGCCCATATGCATCTGCAGGTCACATCTCTCAGGGCTGGGTTTGGGAATAAATAAGAAGTCACATGTGAAGCCCTTAGCCAAGTGGCACACAGGAGGTGCCGGCCAATTGTGCTGCTATGGCATGGGTCGCAACCTAACCTTATGGTGTGTTCTGAATCATTCTGGAAGAAGAAAAGCACAGTGGAACACACGAGTTGCCGGGGCCTTCCATGACTTCGGGGTCCTTCTTGGTCAGTTCCTAGTCACCTAGGCAACTCATGCTCTGAAAGCTGGTTCTGTTTGCCCACAGAGCATGTGCCCCTTACCAGAGGCAAGCAAGAGGGCGGGGGCCAGGCTGCTCAGGAAGCTCTCCTGCTTGTAGGATGTCCTGCGAATTAACCCTTCAAGGTGACGAGATGCCAAGCCCAGGGCTGCCACCCTCACTCCCCCTTCCCGTCACTACTTGTGTGGGTAGAAGATGGCAGAAGGGTTTCAACCTGGGCAATTCCAGGCAGTTACTTAGAGCTTGATGGGCTCTGAAAGCTGTTGGCTTTAGTTATAAGATCACCACTGAACTCTACGGAAATTTAAAAGTTGGCCACATTTCTGAGAACGTTGAAGGAGCGCACAGGCCGTATCATGTCCTTGGTCAGGGACCGTCTCCTCGCCATGTCCTCCTGCCTCACTAATGTGGGCCCAGCCAAGACCCCTGGCCCAGGCTCTCCTGGTGCTGCCAAACAGTCTCTGGTCCCCTCCCTGGGCATTTTGTTTTGTTATAATTGCTTAGACTTCAAGGACCTCTCCTCTCAGCATCTGTCCCCGCTTCAGTGGGGGTTACCTATTGTCCATATCAGGCCCAGAAAAGAGGGGGAAATAACAGAAAGGATGAGAGATGCTTCACTCCTCTGTGCCCACAGGTTTTAAAGCGCCTTCCCTGCACCATCTCAGATAAGCAAACTGAGTCTGGAATCAGGAGTCTTGCCCAGGTCAAAAAGTAGGAAACAGTGGGGCCCCCCCAAGAGGCCAGGGCTTGTGCCCCCACTCCACTGGTAGGTCCACAGCACTGGCCTGTCCTTGTGGTGAAAAGTGTGTGAATTAGGGCACCAACTGTGGCATCACCTCCCCACACATAACCTGTTCACCACACCCAACTGGGCGGGGGCTGCACACAGTGTCAAGTACCAAGGCACCAAGAGATTGGGGACTGGCAGGGTTGGGCAACTTTGGGTTTTGAGACGTCCTGGCACTCTTCACATGATCTGAAGCCTCCCTCAAGGGGTGTCTGTCGTTTACACCAAAGAAACCTGAAGGCGGTTAGCTTCCTTCTCTCTGGGCCTGTGCACACTGGCAGTGGTCTCCTTTCTGCGGGAGACCTAGGACAGGGCTTGGGGTTGTTAGTGATGTGAGGTTCTGTTTTTAACACAAAGTAGAACTAGTGATCCCTGGTCAAGCAGTGAGCGGGGCTGATGTAAGTACCTCCAACCCCTCCTGCCTCTATCACCCTGACTCCTATCCAAAATGCTAGATGAAATTTGTTTTAAGTATAAAATGCAAAGGGACATTTCCAGGTGCCAGAAACCAAGAACTTCAATGTCATGAGCAGAAGGTAAATCCACCTGCCCAGACCAGATGTTGACTTTGAGGCTGGTATTCTAACGCGAGCATGGAGACAGGAGCCAAAGCCACAGGGAACTGGGCTCCCCATAAAAATCTAAGAAAAAACAAAATTGCTATAGATGTGAGATCTGAACTTTCTTTCTACCTTCAAAGTGGGAAGCTCAGAGCTAGGAACTAATATAAAAATTAGTCTGCACTGGGTGCGGTGGGTCATGCCTATAATCCCAGCACTTTGGGAGGCTGAGGCGGGAGGATCACTTGAGGCCAGAGTTCAAGGCTGCAGTGAGTTATGATTGCACTATTGCACTCTGGCCTGGACAGAGCAAGGCCCTGTATCAAAAAATAAAATAAAATAAAAAATTAGTATGGAACAGAAAGCCAAATTAGACACCCACAGAGGCAAGCAAACCATCTCACAATGAGGCCTTCTCTGGCCAAATAGAAGTCCTGCCAAAGACCATGCTACATACAAAAATTTGAAGCATTCAAAGTGATTTGAGGGTGTCCACCCAGGGGGAGAAGTATGGTTCCACAGTGTGACATTGGCTTGCAGAACAGCTGCCCACCTGCCCACGTTATGGGTCGCCATGATGCACAGCACCTCTGTGGCTTTTATCCGCACTAAGTCGTTGATGTCCTTCAGCAAAGCTTTCAGGCTGTCCAGGCAGCCTACAAGGCAGAAAACAAAAACAAAAAAAAACAACTTAGACTATTTGCCAGTCTCAGAAACCAACTAACTCAGAAGTCAACAGGTGAGCCAACGTTGGGCAACAAGAAGGCACCAGAAGTTATGCTGCTTTGGGGAGTTATGGCATCATGTCAGTTACACAGCATCTCATCGTCACCGAATGGGGGCTCACACCCAGGGACCGTCTCATCTAACCCTCCTGGCATGGTTCTCCCTGCACGCTTTTATCAATGCCTTCTCTCAAAGGCTGTCATGGGGCTAAGAAAATGGCCTTTGCCATTTCTTTGACCCCAGGAGAAATGGGGTCAATGTATGACCCTGTCCCAAACTAGTCATGTGACCTTGAATGGGTTACCACCTAGGGAAGCCAGTATAAGCAAATAAAAATTCTGCTTTATTCATTGATCAGGAAACCCTAGATTCACACCCCTTCCCTGAACCTCGGTTTTCTTATGTGTTGGTTGAGGGATGCTTCCTCCCTTGCAGGTGGCCACCATGAGGACTGAGGTAACCCAGGCACGACACTTAGGGTCACTGGCCCAGGTCAGGCTCAACCAATATCAACCCTTATGTTATAACTGAAGTTCCACCCAGTGTCTGAGGCCATGCTAGGCCCCTAGTCATGGTTACTTGGGCTGTGACACTCTCACCTATGTCAATGGCCTGGTAGACATACTCAGGGTCATGCATGAGGTCACACAGGGCCATGAGGGCTTTCTGCCTTGTCGTCAGGACCTCTGACTGCAGCTCCTCATTCAGCTTTGGCAGGGCCCGACAGCCATAGGCAATGGCAGCTTTGGTGGGGTTGATGTCAGGGGGCAGGTACATGGAGATCCGGGCTTCGGCCATCTTTCCACACCTAAAAGGGCTTTCAAAGTGAAGCTCCACAGAAATCACTGATTAAAAGAACCAAAAAAAAATTGTTGTAATTACTATTGTACTATAGAAGCTACTTCTCATCTGATCTTCAAAACTGTGAGCCAGGTGGGTGGGTATTTTCACTTCCATTTTACAGATGAGCAAACTGAGGCTGACAGCAATGAAGAAACTTGTTCAAGGTCATACTGAAGGTAAGTAGCAGCCCAAACTGCAAACTCTAGAGTTCTCCCATGAAATAGTGTTTAAGAAACCCCTGATACTTTACAGGCTGGGTCTTCAGTCAAAGGCATTGAAATGACAAAACAAACCAAACAAGCAAACCCAGAGATGATCACTCCATTAAGTGCTTATCTTGTGCCAACAATAACTAGTATCCAACTTAACTATCCCATAAGGAGGGGGCTTGTATTAACCATATTTTACAAATGAGGAATCTGAGGTTTAGCCAAGGAGCTTGCTGGAGACCACAGAACTGGTAAGACAAGGAGCCAACGTTCAAATCCAGGTTTAGCTCATTCACCACCAGGGACCCATATTCAGATATTTCCAGTACATCCATGAAAAGGAATTAAGGTTAAAGTGCGATTTATTTTTAACCCACACACACACCTTGAGCAACTGTAGGCAGTGTGGGCTAGCAGTTGAAAGAACTGGCTCCAGACTGGGGCCTTGGGCGGCCTTTACACGGTACTTCCTCTGCAAAGGGAATGTCAGTGCCTCCTTCCCTCCCTCCCCGAGTCGTCATATTAATGAAATACCCGAGCCTGGCCTAGCAGGGCTCCAGAAATGCTGGTTGTGATTATTATCATGGTTGTTATGCGTTTGGTCCTAAGTAAGGCCCCAGTCCTGCAGGAATGCTACTCCAGTAAAAGGTGAGCGGTTCGCTGACACCCGGCACCAGAGGACAAGGGGAGGAGGGCCCGGCTGGGAGGGGCGCGGCCCTAACTGATTTGAGCTCCCCTCACAGGGCAGGGTGGGCGCTGCGGACCGGCCTGCCCTCCTCTAAGGGGCGTGGACTGCGGGAGTCCCACCAGGGATTAAAGAGAGTGACTTGGGGCGTGGAGACATGGGCCCCGTCTGAGCGGGACTGGGTGGGTCACGGGGTCCCCCTGTCCCCGACCCCTGTCCCCCAGCCGCCGCCTCACCTGCTTCAGAGCCCGGGCGCCCGTTGCCAGGCGACCTTGTTGCCAGGCGACCCCGGCAGGCCGTGTACGCTGCGCGGCGCTTTGCACACTCGGTGCCCACAGCGCAGGCGCGAACGGCCCTAGGGTAGGGCCGGCTGCAAAGTGGGAACAACACTACTTTCCCCAGTTACTGTGGGGAACAAAGACCTCTCAGCTTTGTTCAAGGTACAAAAAGGAAGGGAAATGACTTATTTATGCCTTTCTCTGTACTGGATACTTTGCGCATGTCTTTGACCCTCAGAGTAAACCCATGAAGCAGTCACATTATCCAGTTTAGGGACTATCACCTCAGAGAGGTTCAGTAGCTTTCCCCAAATCACACAGGCCTGATCCCAAGACTGCTTAGTCCTGGCCCATGCTCTTTGGTCTGCAGGCTGACTGCCCGGTAATGACAGTGGTCGTCCCCTAGGGTAGACCCAATGGTGGCCCCAGTCGTGGACCCAATGCACAGCTGGCCAGAGTGGTGGGTCTCAAAAGCAAGCCAGACCCAGCCACCACCGGCATCAAACCCTCCCATGCTTCCCCACTGATCTCAGACCTGGGTCCAACTCCTAGCCTACTGTCAGGGTCCTGGGTGCTGGCCTCCTCCAACCATGCTGGACTCTCTTAATCCCCCAACCGGCCAGTTCTCTCCCACAGCCTGAGCTGCCTGTAACACTACCTCTTTGTTCTTCAGGATGCAATTTGGTGAACACTTCCTCCATGAAGCCTTCCTCCTCCCTGAAGGAGTGAAGGACGTGCCATTCCAAAATAATGCTGGACTGATGTATTAATTATTTTGAATTGACAACACAGGAGAAATTGCAGTTTCAGAAAGGGCTAGCTGACCTGTCTCCTCCTGCATGTAGCCATAAAGATTCCTCTGGGAGGGGTGCCCTCCCTGCACCAGTGTAGGAAAACAGCCCTTGTCACCAGAGACTGGGGATTGGGGGCTGCAGTGGACCTGAATAAACACTCACCAAAGTAATCCTTATCTTCCACTAGTTTTCCACCCCCTCACATATCTCCTAGTTGACTCCCCTAGCAATTTACTGTCCCTAGCTAGATTTTCTTTGTCCTTTCACCTCTCCTCAAATTTATCTTTCTTTGTCTAAAATGTATACAAGCTTCTTTCTTCGGCCACTTCTTTGGACTTCACTGTCATGTGAAGATCCCCATGTATATGTAAAACTAATAAAATTTGTATGCTTTTCTCTTGTTAATCTGCCTGGTGGTAATTTGGCTCCTAAATCCAGCCAGGGACCCCTGAAGAGATAAAGGAGGGTTGGAGGTGATCTCTTTCTCCCTACATCCCCAGATCCAAATTAGTAAGTCATTCCTGAGCTTAATCCTCCCTTCTCCTAAATCACACGGGCACGCCTCCTAATTCTCCATTTACTTCTGTTTCCCCCAGCAGACTCCACCTTCCCCAAGGGTGGGCAGGAGGTCCGTTCTGCTTCCTTACCTCCCTGGTGCCAGGCACATACCAGGAGGCTTTCCGTCAATGTAGAACAAATGTGTGGTTAATGGACTTGAATCAAGTTTTACAATCTAAAAGCACTTTCACCATTTCACATGAATCTCACAACAAACCTTTGAGGTAGATAATCAGGTCCATATTATAGCTAAGTAGACTTGAGTTACTGGAGGTGGACCAGCTCACCTAAATTCACCCTCTAAGCCTGCGACCTTTGCAGTGAAACTCATTAAAAGGCATCAGACATCAGCCTCTAGCACATTTGGCTTTGAACTGAAGATGACTGACTGAGATCTGTGTACCAAGGATCATTTTGTGACACAGAGAAATAAGGCAGCCAAATCAAGTAGGTTCTCAAAGCTGGGAACCCCAGGGGACCTCACTGAATTTGGTTCCATGGTTTTATGAGTCTCTGGAGGCCATCTACCCTCACACATATACCTCACTGTCCAAACGGAAATTAGCTCAGAGGAGCTCAGTGACTTGGGTCAGCTTTTCCATAGCCATTAATTAAGGAAATCGATTTTGAAGCATGAGCTCTAGAAAGCCAGGCATGTGATATTCAGACAACATTGGATTCAGAACTACGCAGGTTAGGGCCGGGTGTGGTGGCTCATGCCTGTAACCCTAGCATTTTGCAAGGCCCTGGCGGGAGGATTGCTTGAGGTCCGGAGTTCGGGAACTGTGCAGATTAAGGTCTGTAGGTGGTAGACATGTCCATCCCTTGCCGCTACAGGGTGCTTGACTCCAATACCACAGCAAGAGCTCTTACACCGTGACTGCCACCACCGCTCCGAGTCTAGGGGCGCCAGAACCGCGAATCCCTGCACGGCCAGCCCCGCAGAGCCCAGCCTCCACCCTCTGGCCTCCTGGCCCCGCCCACTCCCCTATCCAGCACCGCCCTTGTTGTCATGGTGCTCTCGGGCGTTCCGGCCACCTTGCTCTGACTTCAGGAAGGTTCTCGTTGCTATGGCGACCGCCGGTGCAAGGAGCGCGCGGGACTGGTTCGCTGTAGTCCCTCCCAGACCCCGCCCCCGACGTCCGCCATCCGTCAGACGCCCGCCGGTCCCGCGTGCCCTTTGTTGCCATGGTGATCGCTGCCGCCCGCCTCGGGCAGACCAGGCCGCGCCGAGCCCCCGCCTTGGCAGCTGCAGCGGGTGAGTCCACCGCCCCCTGTCGGACCCTCGGCCCGCCCGGCGCGGGCGTCACGGGGGCCGGGGTCGCGGGGCTCCGCGTCGCCCGCGCCGCCCACCCGCAGAGCCTGCGCGCGGCCTGCGCCCGGCCGCCACGTTTGCGGAGCTCACGCCCGGCCAGGCCTGCGCACGTCCCCGGGAGAGTCGGGTCGGACGCGGAGGACGCCCGCAGGCCTTGGCCGAGCCACCCGAGTGCGCAGAGGGCCCGACAGGAAAAGGAGCGGCTGAGCAGGCTCGAGGGGTCGGACGCTGGGAGGGCCGAGGGCTGTCGGGGAACAGGTTGACGTGTAAGGCCCCCGGGATTCACCCGGAGTCTCATCCTTTAGAGACTAGGAGAGGGAGGCCTGGATCTGGTTTTGAAGCTGGTGAGAAGCTAGGCAGAAACTCGTGGGTGAGTCTCCAGGGATTTGCATGGCTCCCTAACTGTCTCTCTCCCCTGGTTGTGTCCATAGGATTCTGGAAGGATGAGGTCCTCCCTGGCTCCTCTGGGGGTCCCCGTGAGCCGGGACCGCGTCATCGCCAGCTTCCCTAAGGTAGAGAGTCATTACGGATGCACTGCTCTCCTGACGCCGGGCCACACCGGCTCTCCCCAATCTGCACTCACCCCCAGAAATAAAGCAGGTGAACGAGGGATCTCTGTTCCTCGCCAGGTTTTCCAGGCTTCTCCTTGGGAAGCTGGGACACTGGACATTGACTTGCCCAAGGCAGGCCAGCAAGTGGCTGGTGACTCTGGGTGCCAGAGTGGCATGGAGGTTTATAAGGGGCTTAGCAGTCAGACAGTCCTGGGTGTGAATCCTGATTCCTTCATTAAGCTGTGTGTCCATGGGCAAGCGGCTGGGCCACTCAGACCTGCTACATGAGGTGACTCCATGATAGACAGAAGCTGCCTTGCAGTCATGGCGGCTGTTGTTCTCACCATCATTACTGCTGTCAAGATAGCATTCTAGTCTCCTGACCCCAAATCTGGGGCTCTCTCCCTTTGCCATTCTGCCTTCAATTTCTGCTGAAAATTCACAGCTCCTTTCTGCCTTTATTAAAATCCACCGTTAATTGCAGCAGAGGATGCCAATCAGTGCAACCTCCATAGGGGCAGTGGGACAATATTTACCAACATTGCAGATGTCTCTGCTCTTTGATCCAGCCATTCCATTTCGGAGAATTTACTCTGTGGATACCCTGGCATAGGTGTGCAATGTACACAAGGACAGGTGTTGCAGCAGTTTGTAACAGCAGAAAGTCAGACACGACATAAATGTCCTCTGAGAGGAGGCTGGTTAAACAAATAATGCTGCTTCCTGGCACAGACGCGAGGCACCTCCTCGGGGGCTGCTGTGCAGTGGCAGCCAGAGTAAATTGTTAAGCAGAAATGCAGAGTGGAGCAGTGTGTTGTAGAGCGTAGAGTGTGTAGCACACTTCCATGTGTCAAAATGAAGGGGGAGGGAGAAACGTCCGTTTGTTTATACATGCAGAAAATATTTTTGAAATGATACCTAAGCCCATGCAACCAGTGGTTGCCTCCATATGTTAAAGTTAAAGTTTGGATAAATCAGGCAAAGCAGGTAAGGGCAGGTGGAGTGTGTGCAGTTCTTTCTGACCCTGAGCCCAGGCTCTTAAACCACTGCTCGGTTCCACCTTCCAGGAAATGTGGAAGACAGAAAGTGCTTCCTAGGACATTTTCCAGGCACATGTATGTATATTTTTTAAACAAAAATGTCATCAGAGATCCACAGACAGTATGGGATGATCTTGGAACCAAAAAGGCCCTCGTTGTCCCTCTTGCTTCACCCCAAGAGGTCTCAGGCCCAGAGAAGGCAGAGGCCTGCCACATGCATGCAGCAAGAGGACAACCCCCCAGGGGAGACCCCAGTCTCCAAGTCCCAGCCTAGGTGCTTTGATCTGGCCTGGCTCCTCTGGACTCCCAAGACCCTGGAGCCTTGAGGACAGACATGACAGAGGGGCAGGGAAAGCTAATAAGGCTGCCAGCCACAGGCTCCGGAGGGAAGGCTGGGAAGTAAGTCAGCCCTTGCTGCCCGGGGGATGGAGCCCCAGCTTTGCAGGATGATGTTTCGGTCTGTCTGTCTGGGTCTGTCTCTTTGCAGTGGTACACGCCCGAAGCCTGCCTGCAGCTCAAGGACCACTTCCATGGGCAGGTCAGCGCAGCCTGCCAGCGCAGGAACACGGGGACTGTCGGGTGAGCCCCAGGGCATTGGATTGGGGATAAGAGGGTAGGAAGGAATGAGAGCGTGAATGAATGTGTGAATGAAAGGGTGAACAAATGAAACCCTTACATGGATCAGGCCAGCGCAACCCAGTATAGACCTGAAGACAGCTGGGGCTTTATCTGGCTTCACTTGATACACCTCTGCCATAGGGGGCAACTTTCTCTTTTTCCAGCACATCATGCAGGTGATGTTTTCAGCCTTGGGTCACCGCACAGGTTCATTTCCTCTGTCCTTTTCCCCTCAGGTCTTAGCATAAGGTCCTCTGGCGTCTTCTCTGACCCCCTACAACTGCTCTCCTTAGCCTGGGCTGTGTGCTTTTGTGCCCTAAGAACTTACCTCACAGAATTGGGGCTTTACTTGTCTGGATTCCTCACTAGACTTAGCTAGAGAGGGCTCCTGCCTCCGAAGCACCTGCTGCCGCCTGCCACCACCGGCACAGGGGTTTTGCAACGTTCCTTCTTTTAACAAACAGGTACGAGGGCCTGCTTTTGCCCCTCATCCCGAGGAGCTCACAGTCTCCTCAAGTAGTTGGCTGAGCTCACAGGTGCCACACAGTGTGGTGAGGCTGGAAGGCAGCCCAGCTCGGAGGTCCCCAAGGCTGCACAGAGTGAGGCAGAGCTTGGGTCAGCGTGGCCGAAGAGGCTGTGATCGTGGGATGAGAGTGACAGCACCAGTCAGGGAGTGCTGGTGCCACATCCGGTGCTGCATGCAGCTCATCTCCCTGACTGGAAGTGGGGAAACTGAGGCACAGAGGGTTCTGCCTCAAGACCTTAGCCAGTACCTTTACTCCTTCATTTTGTCTAAGAAATGGGGTGAGAGCCAGGCTGTTCCAGAATGAGAGAGCCACCCGGGAGCAGGGTAGACACAGCCCTTGACCTCACAGATATGGCAAGGTGAACTGCAGGCCAGGTCATCAGGTGACACAGAGGTGCCCTCTTGCTGTCTGCAGGCAGAGGAAGTGCCTGTCAGCTGTTTATTCAGGTTGGTTGCTGCAACTGTCCAGCTCCTTTGGGACGAGCTGCAGAAAGTCTTCAAGTCTAAGTCCCAGGAAGCCGGGCGTGGCTTTGCGCACCTGCAGGCCCAGCTACTCAGGAGGCTGAGGCTGAACTTCAGCTCGGGAGTTTGAGACCAGCCTGGGCAACATAGCGAGACCCTGTCTCCAAACAAACCAGTCCCAGAAATGCTGCAGTGCAGAGTGCAGGACACACACAGGGTGAGGCTGATGGCTGCTGTCAGTGAGCAGCGTCTCCAGGGAGCCCAAGAACCTCAGAGCCCACTTGCCTCAAGCCACAGCCCAGATGTGTCAACCCTGTATCCTGCCCATGCTGTGCCCCTTGGCCTTTCTGACCCTTCGGACACCTCCAAGGGAGCAGGTGACAGCGGTGTCCTGGTCAGGGAGCACCTGCTTGCAAGGAGCCGGAGCCCAGGCAGGCACACAGCCCCAGGGGGCAGGTTGGGTGCAGGGCCACCCACCCACCCTTGCGCTGGTGCCCCCCGCACATAAGTGGCGTGTCTGCACCCTCAGTGTAGCTCCCCCAGCTTGGATGTGACCCAGCCCACCTTGGGCTTTTGCCTCTGCCCTCTCAGCCTGTGACTCAGCCTCTTGTCACGTCCACCTCAGGACCAGGACTTTGGCCAAGTGGGGTCTGAGGTGTACCCCAGAGGCATCAGAGTCCCCAGAACAAACGCAGCCTCTCTTACCCTCCCCTCTGAGGGCTGGGGGTTTGGGGGACAGAGTGTCTCAGCAGGGTGGCCCATCCTGTGTCCAGGAGCTCAGGAAAGGAAAGGCCTGCGAGTGTCCAGAGACCTTGCTTGAGAACAACACGGATGTATCTCCCACAGGCTCAGACTCTCCAAGGTGGTTGTCGTTGGCGACCTCTACGTGGGGAAGACCAGCCTTATCCACAGGTACACGGCTTCCTAGGCCCCGTTGGCCACACCTCCCAGCACCAAGTTGTCACACCTCTGCTGGGTAGCCCAGATGACACTGTCATAGTGGGAGCCATGTGGCTGCCAGGAACCACTGTGCCTCAGCCTGGTGGGAGCCAGATGGGAAGGGGTGCACGAAATTGGGGAGACGATAGGGTTGGGAAGACAGTGGGTATCCCAGGAGGCTGGCATTTGTCACACTGTCCCCCGGGGGCCATGGGCTGGACCCTCCACCGCCCTCCCTATGAATAGATGCTCAGTTTCACTCAGTTTCTAACATGCAGTGTTTTCGGGGCTCCTGCAGCCTCCCTTCCCGCACACCGTTCTTGGTGGCTGCTCTGTCTGTCCATGGCCTCCTTGGGCCATTACTTCCTTGTCAATCCTATATCGGTGGATCACATTTGGCTGCAGACTCACACTGTCCTGAGCGAAGTTTCTGTGCACACTGCTCTGATGCCTTCCCTGCCTCCCACAGGTTTTGCAAGAATGCGTTTGACCGAGACTATAAGGCCACCATTGGGGTGGACTTTGAGATCGAGCGCTTTGAGATCGCAGGAGTTCCCTACAGCCTCCAGATGTGAGTCGCTGCTCTCCGCAGGGCTGTGGGTGGGCTTCCTGGAGACACCGGAAACCTTGGGGAGCTCCTCCTCCACTGCACCCCGTGGCGCTGCTCAGCAAGCACCTGTCTGGACAAAGCATATTTCCTGGCTCCCCGAGTCCCTGGAGTCCCCTTGGTCCCCATAGTTGTCATCACATCTGGGGAAGGTCCTCACAGCCTGACCTGCCCACCCACCCCTGACCTCCCCTGGTGTACCCCCTATTCTGCCCAGGCTCAGGCCCCTCCCCCTCAGCTCTCCTGTAATGCCACTGTCCAGGTCAGCGGGGTGGTAAGTCCCTTCTGAGCTCTGAGCCTCTGTCCCCACCTGTGAAATAGGGTCAAATCCAGTCCCCGCATGCCATGCTCAGGCAGGGAGGGCCCAGTGGGGAGGCAGCACCGTCTACAGCCTTCCTCAGGCCTGACATGCTCATCTTCCTGCTCACACGACTTCCCTGGCTCACGGTCCCCCCCCCCCTTGCTTTCCTTCCACCCCTGTCTGTCTGTCTGTCTTCTTCCATGCCAGCCCCAGGCACCTGCCTCTCAGTGGCCCACTGGCTTCCTCCCCTCCCCCTGCTTTCCTTCACCAGGGCCCAGGACTCCCCCCAGAGCTCAACCTGTTCCACCCCAGCTGGTGCCTTGCTCTGCACCTGGCCTACCCCCTCCCCAAGCACCTGGAGGATGCACAGGCACCAGACCTTGCTCTCCCAAGGGGCTCCTCCCCTCCTTGTGGTCTCCTCTGTGGCTGCTGCTGTCCCCTGCTGGCAATCGCTAGGTCTCTGTCCTGGTTCCTTTCCCCTTTCTATCTCCCAGGTGCCTTCCTCAGCCTTCTGGCCCTGCTTGGGCTGAGCCTGCGGAGCCTGTGGATGTGAGTCCTGATTCTGTCAGGATAACGCCCCCCAGCTCAGGACCTCCGCAGCCCCTGTGCACTTCTGCAGTCAGGGGATACCAAATCTTGCCCAAGGGAGAGTACAGGGTCAGTCCAGAGCAAAAGAGGCTGTGAAAACACAGGGCCTCAGGACAGCGGCAGCTGGAGAGCTGGGAGAGCAAGCGCCCGTGGGAGCAGCCTGGGGGTGCGAGAGAGAGTGCCTAGTGGCCGGGCTCACCGTTGTGACCACAGGCTATATCTCAGTGGAGGGCCCAGGACAAAACAGTCACCATCCCGGCTCAGCCTCTCGTCTGACATTGAGGCTGTTGCCAGCCTCCCAGTGTGCCCTACCCCCAGCGCCTGCTCCCAGAATCTTCTTCAGAAATGAAAGAAAATAGTAGTGAATTAATGAAAAAATGAAGCCTACAGAAAAAGTTGTGTGTCGTGCTGGATCCCTTGAAAAAGATTGCAGACCATTGATGTCTTGTTTGTGGTTTGTCTACTTTTCAGTTTACTGAGAAAAGTTAAATTCTGATCTGTTTACTTTAAAATAGGGTGGATTTCCCAACTCACCCCTGCATATTGAGCACCTGCCTTGTTCTAAACCAGGGCAAGTAGATCTCAGCACGTGGGCCTTTCCCTCTGCTAAACTATGCCCATTGGAGACATCATTAATTGACTGTTGCATTCTTTTCCATGGATCCAGGGCACCTAAATCCTTCTCAACAGGGTATTCCAGAGAGCTGGAGCTAACTGCTAAGAGTCACCTGTGGGTGCCCCGTTAGGGACCTGGGACTGCAGTGCAGAAGGTGAAGCACCGTCCCAGTCACGCATAAGCAAGTAACAGAGCCCTGGCCTGGGGCCAGGGATAGAGGGTCGCAACAGGCACTTCCTGAAGCCCACACACTGGCGTGGGCCCCCATGTCTCCTACCCACAATCCCACTCACCCGTTGGCTCAGAACGCTTCCATTGTTTAACCTGCCACTGTTCTCCCTTTCTCTCTCCCACTGCACAGCTGGGACACAGCCGGGCAGGAGAAGTTCAAGTGCATTGCATCTGCCTACTACCGTGGTGCCCAGGGTAAGCAGCATGTGATGTCAGGGGCCTCGGCCATATGCAGCCCAGGGGCTCCCTGCTCGGCTACACAGCAGGAAACCCAGGTCCTCCATGCAGCCACCCATTTTCTGGCCTCCAGGAACCACTGAGAAAACACTGGGCTGCTGTGTGGGGACAGGGACACTGCCCTTACATCTGGCTGGCTTTGGCAATCACATCCTTTGGGGACCCTGTGGTGGTGGGTGCTGGCTTTAAGTCTCAGCTCCAGTTATCAGCTCAGAAAGATCCTGAGAGAGGGAAGTACTTGTCCAGAGGCCCCAGGAAGGAAGAGCTGCATCCAACTCCAGGGGGTGGGGAGAGGCTTGTCCTGTCTCAGCAGGAGGGGGCTGGGCCAGAGAGGAGTGACAGGGGACCATAGGAGGACTGCCAGGTCCCTGCGGGTCCCCAGCACCCCCACCTCCAGGGCGGAGGGCAGCCCAGGCACTGGGGGGGCCTGACAGTGTAGGGTCCTCTGCCGGCTGCACCTTCCCTGGGGAGGCAGAGATGGAGCTCAGTGGGAGATGTGAGAGAACTGCCAGACGCATCCAAAACCAGACTCAAATTACAGGGTGCCATCATGTCTACTCAGTAGCGGTAAGAAAGAAAGTCACAACCCCTTCATTGTGATTTGAAAGGAGCAAAATCAGGAAACAAACCATGAGTGCCCGGCTGTGGGTTGGAGCTCAGCTCTGCCGTGGCTGCGTGGCCTCCTGCAGCCTCCGCCACCGTGGGCCTCTCTCTTCTGGGAGGGTGCGTGCTTCTCTCCTGGGGATGGGTGTGCGGGTCTGGCTGCTGTCGTCCCTGTCCCTGTGCCTCAGGAGCAGAGCGGGCTCTACTGTGGCCTTCAGCCAGGTGCATCGGAAGCCCCTGCCAGCCCCGCTCACTCTCCCGGGGTGAGCTGAGCAGCATTTCCCAGGAATGTCCTCCAGGACTCCCCTAGGACCCAACACCACAGGAGCTGAGGGCGGGGACTACCTACAGAAGTTTCCTAGGCTGGTTGTTGCTGATCACCGTCAGGGCCACAGCTGCCATTTGCTGAAAGTTGCCCGAATCAGGGCCTGGACTAGTAGCGTTTGAAAACAGCCACTCTTGTTTAATCCTGACAGCAACCCTGAGAGCTAGAGGTATCATTCTCACCATTTTACAGAGGGGGAAACTGAGGCTGTCAGCTGTTAAGGCCCTCACCCGAGCTCCCTCAGCTGTGAGCGGCAGAGGGTCGCCGACGCCAAAGCCCATGTGCCCCACGCCCCTCATCCGCCCTCCTTGGGTTCTGCCTGGGGCCAGGCTGCTGGGCGCACGCAGGGAGGGCGGTGGGAGGTGGGTCCTGGGGCAGCCTCCATCTGGGGCTTGGCGCTGAGTGCCTGGGGGCCGCCCTGGCAGCTCCTCAGGAGCTAGGCGGCTCCCGAGCCCCGCCTTTGACAAAGAGCCCCCCTCTGTCGCACTGTTCGCCCACCGGTGGCTGGTCGCGGTCGGCTGCTTCCGGGTGTCCAGTGATCATCACAGCCTTCGACCTCTCCGACGCGCAGACGCTGGCGCACACCAGGCGAGTCCAGCCCGCGGCCCGCGCTTCCCCAGGTCCAGCCAGCTGCCTGACGGCCCCCAGACAGGCCAGCGGTGGCCGCCCCCGCCCCCGAGTGCGAGGCCAGCACAGTGGCGCTGGGGCGCGTGCTCCAAAGGGCGTGCACTTGATTTAATACTCTCCTGTCGCCATCTCGAAAGTCCTGATGTTTGAATGAGGGGCCCCACATGGTCACCTTGCTCTGAGCCATGAAAACTTCATAGCCAGTCTGGTCTGAAAGGACATGAACTTGCCACTTGATTCTTAGGCAGAGAACGGCAATGCGACCAATTCTGAGAGGCCATCCTGCTTGTGCTGGGAGCCGTCTGGCTAATGGACCAAAGCCCTCTCCCCTCACCTTTGTCTGGGGCATCTGCATCCAGCAGCTTCCAAACCCTAGGAGGGAGGCGGGTGTGATCGTTCCGGCTGATAAAAGTGCAGAACTCACCCGAGGTCTCACAGGGTGCAGGCAGAGCCAGGGCCAGAGTGGTGTCTTCTCCAACCCTGACGAGTGCTCCTGTGTCCCACCCCTCTGTGGGACCAGTGTCCAGCTCAGCCGGTGTGGGCCAAGGCGCCCTCCCTGCACCTCCCAGCCCTGGGGGTGTGCAACCCCATGCCCTGCTCTGGGCGCATGCGTGGGCGGCGTCTCTCAGACTGTCTCTCCTGCGCACTCCAGGCAGTGGCTCGCGGATGCGCTGCGGGAGAACGCGGCCACCTCCTGCTTCATCTTCCTTGTGGGAACCAAGAAGGACCTTCTGGTGAGCAGAGCGGCCGGGTGCCTGGTTGGCTCGCAGGAAAATGCCTCCACCCTTAGCCCAAGTTTGAGGAGGGAGGGTGGAAGGGAGGCGGCACGCGGGAAGGGGCAGCTGCCGGCCCCAGGGGCCTCCCCGCAGGAGGGCCGACTGCTGGGTCAGCGAGGGCCCCTCTCCAGTCAGGGGCAGCGTGTGAGCAGGCCGAAGCGGAGGCTGTGCACCTGGCCAACGAGATGCAGGCTGAGTACTGGTCGGTGTCCGCCAAGACCGGTGAGTGGGGCCCGGGCTGTCGCCGTGGTGGGGGCAGAGCACTGCTCTCGGGCCAGGCCTTTCCTTCTGTGGCCCCACGCATGCTGGCATTGCAGCCCAGCCTTGCTGGCGACTGGCAGCGCCTTCTGTTGCCTGAGAGGAGGCCCCTTATCTCTAGGAGGTTGGGGGGCCTGCCTTATGGGGGGGACATCGACCCTGGCCCCATGCTGCGCCAGCACGTTCTCCAAGGCAACCCCCCCCCCCAACCACCGGTGAGGCAGGTTCCTTTTATCCCTGTGAAGTCACTTCCAGGAACACAGGGGAGGAGGTGACAGGGCTGGGATCCAAACACCTGTAACGGCAGCACTGTCCTGCCCTTGCCCCTCGGATGCCAGTTGTGTGACACCACCGGCCTGCAGAAGGCCCTGTAAGGGGGTGTCGTCATGGCTTGTGGCCTCCAGCCATCCCACTCTCACCCGTCCCACTCCCCACCTGGTCTGCCCCTGGCAGTGCTCGGCTCCAGCCCCTGGCAAGATCCCCAGCATCCCCAAGCCTCAGTCCCTTCATTTGGGAAGTAGGCTGAGGCCATCCCTATCATTTTTGTTAATGAAAAAGCATGTTTTAAATCACAAAAATCCACACGTACTTGCTGAGGAAAAATTAGAAAATGTAGAGATGCAAAGAGCAGACTGAAAACACAGGCCTTTGGGGGATGAAGTGAAGGTGAGTGCAGGGCCCAGCACACATGGGCCCTGGGGCTCTGCAGACTCAGGAATCGGGCCCAGGAGTCCTTGCCCCAGGCAGGGGGGGACAGTGCATATCAGGCCAGGGATTGAGTGAGCACTGTGGGTCATGCCAATGCAAACACCTTTCAGTGCCTCGCCTGGTGCCCTCTGTTGCCCTTCCCAACAGTGTCCCTTCTGCCTTGTGAGAACCTGCCCTTCCCTGCCAGAGTAACAGTTTACAGACAGCTTGCTATGGCCGAGCAGGCCTGCCCGTGCAGATGTCCAGGTTGCTAGCTGCACAAGGCAGTGCACAGTGTGCGTGTTGGGGGCTGGAGCCCAGCCTGCTCCACGATGGCCAGCGCCTCCACCTGGAGGAGGGTATACAAAGGCTCCTTGTGGGAGCGCATTAATCCTCATGGCCCCACTGGGCAGCTGTGGAAAGTGACAAGAGAGCAGAGGCACATGTCTGTCCTGAGCTCCAGCCCTCCCAGCTCCTGGTCCATAGCAGGTGCTCAGTAGCAGCTGACTGGAAGAGTAGATGCTGAGAAAGGAAGGCTCAGAGGTTTGAGGGAGCGCCCTGGGCAGGTAACTGGGGGGCGGGAGTGGGATGGAGCCAGGTCAGGCTGGCGGGCCCTGCCTAACGTGGGGGGGGCGCGCCCTGCTGTGCTTATTACTGTCACTGTCAGGGCTGCTCTGGGAGGGGTGCGAGCCAGCCTCAGGGTGGGCTGCCCTGGCTCCCATAGCCGACGCAACCAGGGGCAAGGGCAGAGGCGGATGGGGTCACGGCTGTGTCATGGGCCCACAGGGGAGAATGTGAAGGCGTTCTTCAGCCGAGTAGCCGCTCTGTCGTTCGAGCACTCGGTGCTGCAGGACCTGGAGAGGCGGAGCAGCGCCCAGCTCCAGGTCGGCGACGGAGACCTCGTCCGTGCGTACAGGCGTGGCTGGGTTGGGCTGGGGAGTGGGCTCGGGGCCTAAAATCCACATACACCCATTCTCCTGTCACCTGTGACCCTGCCATTTTCTCCCTGATGTCCTTTGGTACTCCTCTCTGAGCGTCACCCTGCCTTCGGGCCTACAGCCTCCCTGACCCCATTTGCCAGCTCAGACTCCTTCTGGCCCTCCTGTCTGCCTCCTCGTGGGCTGGCTGGGCGCCCTAGCCTCTGCAGACATGGCCTGGCTCTGGCTCTTCCAGTCTGTGCTTTCGCCCACTCTGTCCCACCACCCGGGATGCACCCCAGGCCTCCTGGCCTGTGCCAAGTCATCTAGGCCTTGACTGACAACCCAAGTTCACAGCTCTGGCTGTCAGGGTCGGGGTGTGCCCTGACACTTAGCTGATGGCAGATTACTTTTCCCCTCCTTCCAGGAATGAAGGGAAGCTCACCTGAGAGCCAGGAGGGCAGGGGGCTCTCCAGCCTGGGTTGCTGTTAGCTGGGACCTGCGCCAGAGGCCTCCACGCCCCCACGCTCACAGGCAGCAGCTTCGGAACCTGTGGAGGGTGACATGGAGTCCGAGCTCTGCAGCATGTCTGCTCTGAGGTGTGGAAGGCCTGTGCTCTGGGCCCTTCACCCACCCACTGTGCAGCGCCCCAGGGCTCGGCCACTTCTCTTTGGCCCCCCACTGGCTGCCTGGGGGTCCCACATGGCCTGGCGGGAGGGGGCACTGCAGTGATCCCCTGAAAGGCTGGTCACACGTGCAGGGTCCTCAGTCTCCCTTGGCCTTGGAAGGCCTCAGGACTGCTAACTGGGAACACTCCTGCCCCGGCCCACACGCTCCGCCCTGGCCTGCATCAGCAGTTGACCAGCACCCTCTCCCAGCCATCCTGGGTGCGGCCTCACAGCCCGTCTCATCACCGTGTTCCAGCCCACCTGTGCTTGCCAAAGTCGGCACCTGAGGGAGAACCCACCTAACGTCCCCCCGCGAGTTTTCTGTTGTCTGTAGGAAGCTTGTAGTTCTGGGCCTTGGAGTTCTGAGCCTTGCTGTCCACTGTCACTCTGCCACAGGCTCTAGGCATCCCTGGGCAGGGCAGGCATCTGGATGGTGAATTTTCCGGGCTTGCTGCAGGAGGAGGGCTGCACAGCCACCCTGGGGTAACTCCCTCAGCAGCCCTTGAGCGTGGTGCTGCCCTGCCCTGGCACCCATGCCAGGCCCGTGCCCACTGCCGCCTCCACGTCCCTCTCCCCTGCTGGCCTGCATGTCTCTTAGGCCCTGTGTAGTGGCGTCCACACATCTCCAGAGGCTCCGGAGGCCTCCAGAGTCTAGCATGTTCCCGTCTCCACTGCTTCCTCCTGCGCCCACAGGGCAGGCAGCAGCACCCTCTGCCAAGAGTGCTTGTCCACAGGTCTCCTCACCGCTGTGAACCAGCCCCATGGTCCTGTCACCCTGGCTATGCCCCCTCGTCCCCACCCACCCACCTTGTGCTGTAGGCGGGCGGGTACGTCCGGCGTCCCCACTCGCGTCCTGTAGATGGTGAGCACTTTGCAGGTCAGCGCCGGCTGCCCGGTGCCTGGCACGCGGCAGGTGCCCCGCAAATGTTCATCGCCACACAGCGATCACCAAGTAGCAATTAGTGAAAAACACTGGCATCTCTTCCTGTGTGTTCCTTCTTCACTGTATTTTTAGCTCTCTTTTTATTTTTTACATATATAAAACACTTCCTCATGCAAATTGCTTTTAAAGTTGTTGTGTGCTCCCCGTGAAACAAGACAGCACAAAGCATATAAAATACTGAGTGGAAACCCCCACAGCGTTATCGGCTCTGTCGTTTCGCCAGAGTGACGTCGTGCGCACACACTCCCTGGCAGCCTGCCTTCCTGGGGAGCTGCCACTGGCACTCTCGCTGCGGGCACATGCAGAGCCTGCGCGTTCCTTTAGCAGTGGCCAGTCTTCCTTCGTGTGATGGGAGGTCCCCTTCGTCTGACCTGCCCTAGATGACATCCAGTTTGTATCGAGCTTTTAGGTTTTCCCCATGGTGCTGCAGTGGCCATCCTGGAACTTAGAGCTTTGCACACTCAGGATTTCCAAAACAGGCCTTGCTGGGCCCTTCCTCTGGACTGTGGCCCCCAGCCTGGTCCACTAAATGCAGCCTGCGGGGGTACAGATGGCATCGGGGGTGCGTTAGGGAGGACCTGGCATGCAGGGTTTCACAGCAGGGGAGAGCCGGGCCATGGTGGGCTGGTCTGTCCATGGCTCCCTTGCCCCTTCCGGCCCCAGGACATTGCAGGGGTGGGGCGTGTGGCCCTGCTGTGACCAGCCCTGAGCTCGAGCCCCGCTGTCTGGTGTGCACCCACACCTCCATGCGTGGTCCTTCATGGAACTCCTCGTGCTACCCGCCGAGATACACCAGCTGGTCCCTGCAGGCCCTGACTGGCACCGCCATGACCTCTCTGATTTTGATCTTTGGCCTGGGAGGACAGGAGACTAAGCCCTCCAGGGACATGCAAGGGCTGCACTGTCCCCCGCTCTGGGTTGATGTAGCATCTTCTCTGTGGGAATCACTTCAATGTGGCTCACACACCCTCACTTGATACGAGGAGTCAACAGAGACATTCCCTCCATCCTCAACATCTGGCAGGAAATTTCTGGGGCAGAGAAAGTTGGGCAGATTGGTCTGGTCCTCTGGGCCCAGGGAAGCAGACCCCTGCAGCTAGGACATAGCAAGAGACCACAGAGACCATATATAAATGCTTCAGAAACACCTTTTCACTTCTCCCCATTTCCCCTGGCCCCTTCCCTGCTCTCTGTCCATCTGTTTGTTTATAATTCATTTGTCTTTCTCTCCTGCTGGGCACACCTTGAAGCAGGTCTTTTCCCATCAATTCCTGGCCCGGCCCAGCACCCCACAGGGCCCTGTGCCCCAGCCTTCATCCCTGGTCACAGTGCAGTCTCCGCAGGCGCCAGGCCCTCTGCCTGGGCTCCCCTGCCCCTCTTCTGAGCACAGCTGGGACACCCCTACTGTGGGAGGCTTTTGTGGGCACCCCCATAATTCTCACAGCACTTGTCACCCTAGGTGTGATTGACCGTGTCTGGCTCTGTGCCCCAGTGATCTGTGGGACCCCAAAGACCAGGTTGGTGACCTTGTCACCTCTGCTGTTCCCCCAGCACCTCCAGGAGGAAGAGCCCACAGGAGGGGCTCAGTAGATGTCTCAGGGAGGCAGGAAGGTTTCTCGAGCAAGACATGCTCCCAGCAGACACACAGCGCTCTGACCCAAGACGCGCACCACCTGGGGGCAATCCTGTGCTTCGCTCTCCTCGGTGGCCAGAGGCAGTTGTGCCTCACCACTCACGTGCAGATTCTGGAGTCCTGTCTGACCCCAAGACATTCACGGGGCATCAGCCAGTGAAGGCTGTTTGGGGCCCATGTTCTGGTCTTGGCAGGACTTTGGCAGGAGCTGGCAACAGAAAATTCCAAGGCAAAGACGGGCAGGTCTGTGGAAGGAGTCCCATGCCAGATGGAGACGTTCTGTGCACAGGAAAGGATTAGACTTGGGATGTAGAGGGCAGGGGTGGGTGTTTGGTCATTTACTGCTACATAGCAAAACACCCCAAAACTTCATTTCTTAAAGTAACAACCATTTCTCATTTCTCGTGAGTCTGTGATTTGACTGTTCTGCTCCATGGTTAGTGGCCGGGGCAGTCCCAAGATCTGTCCCAGGGTCCAAAATGGCCTCACTTGTATGACTGGCAGTTGGTGCTGGCCTCAGTGTGGATGCTCGGCAGGGCCTTGCCACACAGCAGCTTGGGCTTCCTTACAGCATGGTGGCTGGTTTCCAGGCAGGGGTGTTCCAAAAGATAAGCCCCAGGATTTCAGTGCTTGTCAAGCCTCTATTTGCATCATACTTGCTGCCATGGGACATTTTGGCCAAAGCTCAGAGTCAGTGTGGGAGGAGACTTCATAAGAGGGTGAATTGCTGGAGGCCTGATACTTTGGGGATCAATATAGGGAACTACTTCTCCCCTTTGTCCAGAGGCAAGGTGAGGTCTTTCTTGCCAGGGAACAGCTCCTTGCTCTGATCTTTCCCCATGAACTCACTGCAGAGGCACTTCCTCAAGGAAGACTGCTTTGGCCTCTCCAGCTGGGTAAGGCCACCCTTTATCCGATCCTGGTCACCCTTGAGGCATCACTAAATTTATCATTCTTCCCTTACTGCCCTGATGGCTGTGGTGGCCTGTTTCACCACTGTGTCCCCAGCACCAGCCTGCCAAGTAAGCATCCGAAAGAATGAGCGGCGGGTCACATGGTGCCACCTCATGTGACCGTGGTAACAACTGCTACTTTACAATTCAGTTCCCTGAGGGCATAGGCCAGGGCTAGGCCCATCCTTGACCCCTGACCCCAGCGAGCACCACCATCAGCTTAAACCCACTTTTGGTGGAAATTCTGTCCCAGCATCCCCAAAAGCAGAGGTCATCCAAGAGTGGGGTGCAGTAGCAAGAACCCCCACTTACAGGGCACTCACTCTGCCAGGCCAGTGTGCAGCAAAGTGCTTGAGGGGAAGCTCCTTTAATCACAGCAGTGCCGTGGGCTGGCTGTCACAACTGCCCTGTCCCTGCTAATAGGTAAGGAGACCTAGGTACAGACAGCTGAAAAGACAAGGACACATGTAAGCACCTTCTTCTCTGCCCCCACCCCTGCTTGGCCTCTGACCCCAGTGGGAACCCTTCTCCAGGTGGCCCCATCCCTTACTGTGTTCCTCAGTAACTTGGTCCCAGTCCCCTGCTGCCCAGGGTTGTAACTCCCAAAATCAGTTTATTTGCATGGCCCCAACCATGCCCAGCCATCCTCAGTGTCCCCTGGCTGAGCCCTCCCCATCACAGCCTGCTCCCCGCACCCCCACAGTGAATCTCCCCAGCCCACTGCTGCAGGCCCCGCAGAGACCAGAGCAGGGCACACTCAGCCTCCTTCGACCTTGTGCTCGGTTGCCCCAGCCCGGCCCTCCTCCCAGCCCTGCTGCTGAGACCCCCAGGATGCATTTCAGCCTGGAGGGTAGGATGGGACCCCCTTCCAGATGAACATCGTTCTCTGGAGGGACGTGGGGCATCTTAAGCCAGGAGAGCTAATGTTACCTACGATCTAGGTAACTGAACATAGCAGTAGACAGAAGATTGGTTAAATTCACATGTTCAGGCCAGGCACAGTGGCTCACACCTGTAATCCTAGCAGGCTGGGAGGCCAAGGTGGGAGGATCGCTTGAGGTCAGGAGTCTGAGACCAGTCTGAGCAAGAGCCAGACCCCATCTCTACTAAAAATAGAAAAGTTAGCTGGGCATGGTGGCGCATGTCTGTAGTCCCAGCTACTTGGGAGGCTGAGGCAGGAGGATGACTTGAGCCCAGAAGTTGGAGGCTGCAGTGAGCTATGATGATGCCACAGCACTCCAGCCTGGGTGACAGAGCCAGACCCTGTCAAAAAATAAATAAATTCACAGGTTCACTCATTCTTACTCCTTCATGAGTTCAGCCTTCCCAGAGCCCCGTCCCAGCCTGGCCCTCTGCATTCTCCCATTATTCCTTCTACAGCCCGCAGCGCAGGTGCCAGCAAGTCTAGACAAGGGCTGTAAACCCTGGGGCCAGGCAGGTGGGGCTGGACTGGGAGGTAGTTCCTTCCAGCTCTGCTCCTCCAGACCCCTGAAGTCACTGGCAGGTAGACAAGGAATTCAGGACCTATAAGGGATTCAGAGGGGACATGGCAATCCCGGGGGCCCAGGCAGGGACAAAAGAAGGCATGGGGGCAGTGGTTTCAGAAGCAACACTCAGCTCAGAGAGGGCCCTCCTCTCCTGCAGGGGAGGCCACTCCTGGAGACTAGGTGGTTCGGGCGCTGCGTGGGATGAGACACCCTCCCAGCAGCTCCAAGTCTCCTCTGCCATCTGCTGTGGCCTCCCAATGTCGCCTCCCAATGTCACCTTCCATATGTCAAGCCTTCCCCTAAGGGAAGCTGATGGGCAGCTGGGATGTGTGGCTGTCACACACCTCCTTCCAGGCAGTGCAGATCCTTCCTGCCCCCTCCAGGGCCTCCCCGCATCATGGCCACCAGACACCTTTCTGAGCCTGTGCCCTAGGCGGGAGCATGTGGGGAACAGGCGCTGGGCCGCCGTCCCTGGCTGCTCTCAGCAAGCTCCCCCAGCTTCTAGGTCACTCTTCTAAGTCTTCTAGCACACTCGGAGGGTGGCCAGAGGCGAAGCAGGCCTGGGGCTCCTTCTTTCCCGACAGCTGGGTGGCACCCCGGGTGGGCCCGAGGTGCTCTGGACCTCTGAGTGCTGGAAGCTGCACCTGGCCTGTCTCACTGGCCATCCCTCGGGAACCGGCTCCTTTTGTCCCAACCCTCTGCTCTCTGGGAAGGCTGGAAACAGCAGCCAGGAGACTCCACTGGGATTCCCCAGCTGCAGGGGCCGCATCAATAATGGATTGTGCAGAAGGCCGTGGCCCCAGGCCTGCGAGGGAAGGCCCATGCCCCTTCTCGCTCGGAATCCGTGTGTGGCCAGAGGTTCCAGCGAGCACAGGCTTCTCACTTGGCAAACCTGCCCCACAGAGACCCCCGGCCTCGCTCTGGGCTGGGGCCAGGGCTGGGGCACAGCTGTACTGACGGCCCAGTTTTCTGATCTTGCCCCAGCTCCCTGGGGCTGAGAGATGACAGGTGATGGATGAGAGACGACGGATGGGGCCACATGGCCACATCCTGCCTAAAGGGAGCCCTCATCCAGCCTCAGCCTCCCACGCGGGTGGGGTTGGAGTGCCCCGCCGTCTG